CTACCTGAAAAACCCATCACTGCCCATCAGCTGCCCCACACTGGAGCAACAGACCCTTCAGACTGCGCGCACCTGGTCCAGGCCAGCACGTTCATCATCCACTGACCACCAGCAGCAGGCCAAGGCCCTGGCGCTGCCTGCTCAGGGTACCATGTTCCTGCACTTGACCAAGCCAACCCACAACTGTACTCAACAGCCCACACACCAAGTGACCTGGACATAGCAGGTGACAAATGCAGCCCACAGTGGAAACACAGCATGAGTGATGCACTTAGGTGGCCAAGGGGACCTGAATGACCAGCAGGAGTCTTGCCAACATGCTGTAGGTGGGGGCGCATGACTGAGTTGGAGGTGATTGCCTGGAGAAGGTGCTCTGGCCCTTATCCACCTCTCCCTACCGCATGATCAACATACCTCTCTGTTTCCCAACCCTCCCGTGGAGGGAATGCCAGCCTTATGAGAAGGTTAGATTAGCTTAGCATGGAGGACAGTTCAAGCAACAACATCTAGTTCATCTTCACCAATAATAAAATTGATCAACAGCCCCAGGTCCTAAAAGGGTTCCTTGTTCTCAGGAGGTGTGACTGATGACCATCTAGACCTTTCGAGGTGTTATCACTAATTATTATTATGTTGTTACAACAAACCTCATATCCACATGAGAACCAGAAAGCTGACTGCCCACTAAAAATGAGAAGGTAAACCAGAAAAAGACTATAACTAAAAAGCACTAAAAATATATTTTTTTCTTGCTAACAATGCTAAAGGAGGCCTCTTCCTAAGAGAAGGCGAAGCCACTTTCTGATTCTCTGATGTGACAACATTCTGAGATGAGTCAGGCTGTTCTGTCCAAATTTCCTATGAGGGAAATTTATAGCCTGACTGGTTTATCCTGAGAATGGATTTCAGATAAACTCTCAGGCACAGAGACAACACAAAGAAAGAAAATGAGGGCTGGGAAACATTTGTCTGGGGCTCACAGAGAGGAACGGAGATGTCGCTTTGGTGTTGCGTTGGTGATTCAAAGGTTCAATGAGGTGCAAGGCTGAATGGGGGGCATTCAAGGAAAAGATTGCCCTCCCAGGGCCTTGGAAATACTGCACCCACATATAGGGTGCTGGGTAAAGGGGAGAGATCCCTAGAAAAGTAAAATGGAGACTCACTTGGAATTTTTCAAGCTCCACTGGTGTACAAGTCATCATTTCTCCATCTTGAAAACATAAGGAGACAAACTTGATTACTTTTCAGGTTTATTTATCCAAATCTGACATCCTCCAATTTTCTGAAAAGTTGTCCTTTTCAATCAAAGCTGTTACCTTTGATAACAGGGAAACAAGAGTCTTTAAATCCAAATAATCTACTGGGGTAAAATAAAGTGAGAACTACAAATAGACTTATGTCGTTCTTAATGTTTCTTCTCCTGTGACAATGACTGTGAACTCAGCGATCTTTATAAGTTGGAAAATTTAAAAATAACATTTTTTTTATCAAAAGGGAATCTATACTTCAATTTAAAACAGTGGAAAAAGGGGGCTTAAAAATGGAGGTCTCAAAAATCTGCAAAGAGCTGATGAGACTCAACAACAAAGAAAATAATCCAGTCAAAAAATGGGCAGAAGAGCTAAAAAGAAACTTCTCTGAAGAGGAAATGCAAATGGCCAACAGGCATATGAAAAAATGTTCAACATCACTTGTCATCAGGGAAATGCAAATCAAAACTACCATGAGATACCATCTTACACCAGTGAGAATGGCACATATTAAAAAAAACTAGCAACAACAAATGTTGGCGAGGGTGTGGAGAAAAAGGAACTCTTCTGCACTGTTGGTGGGAGTGCAAACTGGTCCAACCACTGTGGAGAGCTGTGTGGAGATTTCTGGACCTACTAAACATAGAGCTTCCATAGGATCCAGCAATTCCACTCCTAGGTATTTACCCAAAGGACACAGAAACATCAATTCCAAAGAACACCTGCACCCCTATGTTTATAGCAGCACTGTTTACAATAGCTAAGCTTTGGAAACAGCCCAAATGCCCAAAAATAGATGACTGGATCAAGAAGATGTGGTACATATACACCATGGAATATTACTCAGCATTCAAAAAAGATAAACACATGCAATTTGCAGCAACATGGATGGCACTGGAAGGGATCATGCTCAGCGAAATAAGCCAGAAAGAAAAAGAAAAATACCGGATGGTCTCACTCATAGCAGGAATCTAGAAAACTTAAATAAGGGACCAGGAAAACGAGTAACTATAAGAAAGTGAAAATCAAAATCAACAAAAAACTACGAACCAGAGACACTTTTAGGGGGGCGGGGGTGGGAGGGGAGGGATTGGGGTCAGAATGGGGGGGCTGCAATTGTATGGGGAATATAAAAATAAAATTTATTATTAAAAAAAAAATGGAGGTCTCATACTCATTATTTTTTTAAAGATTTATTTATTTATGCATTCAAGAACTGGGATACAGGCCAGAGGTGCAGAGGGGTGAGAGGATTCACCAGAGATAGAGTGGGGATCAGAACAGGCGGACTGACTGAAATACACTGCTGAGGGGAAGAGCTGGAGAGTCAGGAGAGGTCTGCTGCACCATGTGGGTAGCTCCCTGGCTGGCTGGTGATTGAACTTGCGCTGCAAAGGCTGCAGACAGCTTCACAGGGTGGCGCTCAACCTGCTGTGCCACCAGGGAGGCCCCTCATACTCATGAATTAACACAAGACTATATTGTAATGTTGTTTGAGCCCCTGAAGCAACCACAAAGAGTGAAAAATAATTCACTGGCCAGATACAGCCAGGTTGTCTCCAAGATGAATTTTTAACCATCTTAGAAGTCTCAGACTCTACAAAACTTTTACTAGATCACTCTAGAGTAACTAGCTTTTCCTAGTCTAGCTAAGAGAGGAAGCACATATCTACTTTCGGGTGACAAGATAGCCCCATGGAAACACTAAGACATGGCCATTCAGAAGTTTTGCCAGGAATGTTTACAGACGAAGCCATGTGCCCCTAAAGACAAAACTAAATAAAATGAAAACTTATTCAGAGTTTCTCTGAAATCGCAAAAGAAACATCCGATTTGGCCTGTCCTTGTTTACTGCATGTGTTTATCATAAGAACCAAAAGCAATTTCCCGCTAAAATTTGCAAACTCTCAGGTTAGTAAGCTGACACTAATGCTCGTGGCAATGGGAGCTAAGAGGTGACACCTGTGCATTATCTCTGGGCTGAAATGCAAGTTCTTGTTTTGCACATTTCTCTGGCGTAGACTATTTCATTTTGAATACACGCGTGTGCGCGCAGGAATAAAACCACAAAGTGTATCACATCTACTTCCTTTCTGGGCATGGAGTTCCAAGCAGCTCTAGCTAAAAAGTATTCAGTTGTTACTTGCTAATGCATGAATTACTAAGCTACACATCGCAATTGCTCAGTAATTGAGTTAGCGGGATAGACAAATACCTTCAGTCTGGCTCAGAGACTCCCCTTGATTGCAGAGACCCATGATGTCCCACCAATGTCGATAAGCATGCAGGGCTCAGAGGCTGTCTCCATGCCCTTTTGAATGCATTCCTTGCTCAAAAGTCCTTTTCCTAAAATTTATATTAAAAACAGACAAGTTGTTTTAACTTGATTGAATGTTGAATATTTTTATAGTTATTATTTCTGAGCCCACTGCCAACTTTCACAAACACACTCATTTACCAGAGATAATTATGTGTGATTTTCTCCTTTCGTAAAAGAAAAATAATTTGGCAGTCTTGCTTCACATATTTTTCTTTTTCAATACAAGTCATTGTTTGGTGGGGTGTCCTTTATTCTTGTACTAGTTGGTGTGCAGAATGAAAGCGTTTTCTTTAGATCAATTGTGTTGCTTTTCTGTATGGCACTGCTGTTCATACTGGGTTCATAGAGACCCTTAAAGGCTGATATTACATTAGATTCTGCTCATAATGATGTGCTCTTTGTTTACAACTTACATAATTCGATGGAGTGGCAAAGCTTCATTAAAATAGCACAAAAGGAGAAGAAAGTACATTTCAGGGCCTCTGAATAGAATGGACAAGCCTTGATCAGTTCTCATTTCTATCATAGTTCTTTGAACTGATGCAGAACCCATTTCCCCAGGTCTCCATGTGAAAGAACAGTGATTTGTTGTTTTATTACATAATATGACATATAAGGGTAAAACCCATATAAGAGAAATGGTGGAATATATCAATTGCACCAACTTACTTGATACTCCCTACCATAAACTCAATTAAATGTGAATCAAGGTTGGATTCTCTGCACTAAAGAAATCTTTTCATTGAGCGTTAGCAGATAAAGTGGAACTAGAAGTCAGAAATAATCCTATCCTAAATTCAATCCTCTTTATACCAGAGCTGTCAAAAAAAAAAAAAAAAAAAAAAAAAAACCAACTCTCTGTGATGAAAGAAATATGTTCTCTGCCCTATCCAATATGGTAGCCACTAACTTCATGTGGCTATGGAACACAATATAGCTAGTGCTATTAAACAATTGACATTTTAGTATTATTTAACTTTGAGTTAGAGTAATTTAAATTTAAATATGCATGTGGCTAGTGGCCACAGTAATGGGCTGGAGGGGCATGGGCTTTTACTATTCAGTAGGGTAAGAACAAGTCTACCAGTTACTCAAGCCCAAGGGACTTCAGCTACTTGGCACTGAATGTTGTACATGCACAGTCTGGAGCTTTCTGTGCTGCTCTGTGGAGGGGTTATGTCACTGAATGGAAAGGGGAGGATATCTCTTTTTCCTCCTCCACCTGGAAACTGAGACCAAGTTAACTTGGCAGATAGCCAGCATCTCAGGATCTATTTAACCTGCACCCCACTGTGCTATAAAATCCAAGTGAAGTTTGGAACCCAAATCAAGTGTAGAATCATGGTTAAGTTTGGAACTTTTCACTATTATGACATCACCTTTTATGCCACCTCCTCCTTGAAGTATGTGTATTTAAATCACACTTTGACAACAGTTTGGTTACTAAGAGAAGGGTGGGAGGTAAGAGCATTTCCCCTACAATCTGTTCTAGATCAAAGTCAGAGATATTTTCAAAATGGAAACCATACTCATGATTCAAATTCATAGCCAAATCTCTACACAGATGCTTAGTAGGCATGTCAGAAGGTCTCCTCCAACATGGCAAAATATAATATGATAGAATCGTCATTTGTCCTTAAACCCATTCTTTTCCTTCTCTTCTCCATCCCAGCATATGCCACCACTACTCACCCATCTGTGCAGGTCAAAACAAGGTTCATTTTTTCCTCTACTTTCTCTCTACATAAAGTCTATATGTAATGCACTAGCAGGCTTATTGGTTTTACCTACAAAACCTGTCTAGAATCTGACCTCCTCCACAATTCACCATCTTCTCTTGCCTGATCTGTCACAACAGCCTTCTTCCTCTCTGCATCTATCTTTCTATTATCCTCCTCTGCTATCCATAATCCCTTCCACATACTTCGTGGTGGAAGATAGTGGTAAATATCAAGGTAAGTCCATTAAATATAAACCCTTTCTACCTTTCTCACCTCATCTTAACTCCTGTCTATTCAGTGCCTCTTATATAAACTTCTTACTGTTTTTCAAATACATGAAGCTCAGTATCTCCCTTGAAGCTTTCACTTCCTCTTGGCAGACTGAAATGCTTTCCCTCAAGCCTCCCCTAACTAACAACTGTATTGTGCCTTTCCTGGTCACTATCACCCATCACTTTCTGTCTCTCACTCTTCTTACAGTTGTTCCTGGCACATGAAATTACATCATTTCATCATTGCCTTTCTGTTTTTTTTCTTGACTTTTTCTAAGCTAATTCCCATGAAATCAAGAATCTTATAGCTCTCATATATCAATCTCATGTCAACACACTGTACAGAACCCAGCATTTAATAGGTGCTCAAATACCTGTTAAAGAGATTACTAAAATTTGATCATGTCATTCATCTGAACACAGGGGAAGACAGTTTTATGCAGACTTCTGCACATGCACATCCAGAAGGACACACACCGATAAGCAGACACACACACTCATGTCCCTTAAAAATTTCAGAGGTTCAAAAAAAAAAAATTTCAGAGGTTTCTCCTCATTTGGGTGATATTGTAAAGAATATTTAATGTTGGTAATAATGTTTTGCACCTCTGGCTTCAAACTTTCTCTCCAATGTCACCTCAAACTCTGCTCCTTTCTCAGCCTCCTCACTCTAGACACAACAAGCTACTTTCTGCCCCTTTAATCCTCTCTAATGTTTATTTCTGTACATATTCCTCCACATTCAAATCATTTTCATATATTTCTTGCTTAGAAGCCTCCCCCTTTCCTCTTGTCTAAGTCAATTCCCACTGATCATTCATATATTAAAACAAGAGTCCTTCCCACATGGAAACATTTCTTGATCTCCTTAAATAGGTCAGCTCTTCCTATATAATCTCGAATGAATAAAGGGATGGGTGAATGTCAATGATGTTTGTAATGATTATTGGTCCTTTGAGTGTGTCTGAGTACAGTGGAACTTTATCTTTACTTGCTGCTGTGGCATTTCAAAGTAATTAAAACTCATGTGCGGTTACACATTAGTCATATTCTCCCAATTGCAAGGGATGCAGGCAGTTGGAGATGGAAGGGACCAGGGGGCTCTGCACACGTTCCATCACAGTAATGGTGACAGAGATAAAGTTGACATTGCAGAAGCTACCAGAGCTTCTATTTACCTACTGATATTTACTGTGTTCCCCCAGGACAGCCGGTAACATCATTTACTTCCGATAAGGTAGGTTTGACAACGCACTGAACATTAAAAGGAAAAGTGCCTGGATAAAATGAAAACAACAGTGTGCCCTGGCAGGGAAGAGATGGATGGCCTATACATAAATGTGAGTTCATTTAACATCAGGAAACAAGGGCTGCAGCGAGGATTGGCACCGTGCGCACTATGTCATTTTCATGAACATATTTTCTAAATATCATTTATGTGAAGCACACCAGTGAGGAGGTTATTAGGAAAATATTTTAGAGGTACGTACTGAAAGGGGAGAATTTAGATTTCCAGGAATACCAAATCGCTAAATACATGCTTATCCACCCATTCGGAAATGAGGGAAGCATGGCTCTATAATTCCAGAAGCTGTTAGATTAATGGGCAATATCTGGCAGGTCATTGAACAACATTCTCCAGGTACCTGGGTTGGTGTTTAAGTTGAGTGGGATCTGGAGCTCTGGGTTGGTTCTAAATTTGAGTGGGACCCATAGCTCTTGAATAAGTCTGGGCATGGGCAATAAAACTCACAATGTCCAAAGTGCTCACAGAATGAGTCTGCACTCAGACTCTGCTGTTCACAAACTATGTGGGACCCGATAATTGAAAGGAAAGTCCTGATGCTCAGGCAGAAGGGCACCAGCAGCCAGGGGGCCTGCCACGCAGCACAGGACTGCCAAGTGCTCCATAAGATGCCAATTCAATTCATGTCACTCATGTCATCCTTAGTTAACTATGCTTGAATCCATCTCACATCCATAAAGAACTTGTTTCTATTTCTGTCACCAGCTTCGCTTGTGAATTACTCCACAATGACAGTCTTCCTGTCTGTTCTCCAGCCAGATGGTCCTGGCCTGGTCGGCCATGCTTCACACTTAAACATGGTGTGTTCTCGCTCATGAGCTGTCAGGAACCTGACATTGGTATTCCCAGAGTGCTTGCCTATCATGCCCTTTCGGACAGTTCAGAAGCTCTCACACAGAAGCAAACGAGCACATTCCTGAAGCTTCCTGGCATGAAAAGTGAACACAACACGATCCTCTGGCACAGGAGAGGATCTCATAGATAGTATCAACCATCACAAACTTAAATTAGGGCCTCCCTGGTGGCACAAGGGGTTAAAGTCTCAGCACTTGAAGCTATCGCCAGCCGCTGCAGCATGAGTTTAATCCTTGGCCAGGGAGCAACCTACATGGTGCAGCAGATATCTCCTGTCTCGCCCACTGTTCCCCTCAGCAGTGTATTTCAGTAGATCTGCCTGTTCTGATCCCCACTCTCTCTGACAAATCCTCTCACCCCACCCCCCAACTCTGGCCTATACGCCAGCTCTTGTATGCATAAATAAATAAAAATAATAAATCTTTAAAAAACAATTAAATTATAAAACAGTGATTCCCACCCCCATTTTTAGGTTGTAGTTTGTATCTTTCTTTGAGTATATTTCAAGGAGCATGAAGCTGATTTTCAAAACAATTTCAATTTTCTCTAATACAGATTTTTTTCACTTTATAAATATGTATGGGCAGGCACTTTCTGGGTATATGGATTGGACAGTGAAGGAGGTATTCTCTGTTCCTGACAATTTTATAGTTCCATGGTAAATGAAGAGATGAGAATATATTGTTATGTTTCAAGGTAACATGTACTCTCCTATGTGCAAATACAGGGTTTGGGGAAGTAAGTGAAAGGCCCTGGGTTCTGCCTTGAATAATCATGTCAAGTTTCCTTGAAAAAGTACGTTTCACCTGAGATCTGAACTAAGTCTGTAGTTAGGCAGGCTATGGGGAGGCTAGATGGTCAGAAAGGATCTAGACAGAGAGAATATGTGGCCTCTTAGATGAGGAGTATCAACATTTAACAATGTTTTTTCATATGTCTGTTGGCCATTTGCATTTCCTCTTTGGAGAAGTTTCTTTTTAGCACTTCTGCCTATTTTTTGACTGGATTATTTACCCCTATGTTTATAGCAGCACTTTTTACAATAGCTTAGCTATGGAAACAACCCAAATGCCCAAAAATAGATCAAGAAGATGTGGTACATATATACAATGGAATATTATTCAGCAATCAAAAAAGATAAACACATGCAATTTACAGCAACATGGATGGTGCTGGAAGGGATCATGCTCAACAAAATAAGAAAGCAAGAAAAAGAAAAATACCAGATGGGCTCACTCATAGCAGGAATTTAGAAAACCTAAATAAGGGACCAGGAAAAAGACTAATTATAATAAAGAAAAATCAAAATCAACAAGCAACTATAAACCAGAGACACACTAACAGGGGCGGGGGTGAGGAGAGGAGGGATTAGGGCCAAAATAATGGGGTTGGGAATTGTATGGGGAATATAATCAAAATGAAAATGCATACATTGTGCAAAAACGAAAAATGATGTAAGAATTATATAAAATAAAATAAAATATAAAAAATTAACAATGTTCTGAAATCCTGAGAATCACTGGGATAAAGAAATAAATATGAGACTCAAAATTCTCACTTCCAAATGGGAAAGGAAAAAAACACTCACAATGTTCATCCATGGATAGAATCACATCATCAGTGAGGTTTGGGGTAGGTTGAGGTCCCATTTGACTTATTAAGTTATATTTAAATTGCCTCTTGAGGTAATGACAACAGAGACAGGGATATTATTATAAGCTATATTTAATTGATAGAATTTGGGCCTCATCTCTTCTACAAGGGCATAAAAAACACAATTTTTTTTTCAGAGACATGGATATAATTTTCCTGTGCATTCAAATAATTCAGCAAATGAAATAGGATCTCATTAATAATAAGTGAGAACAATGGAGATAAATATGCTAACGTGTTATATAGTCTTTCTTCCTTGCCTCTGTAAATAATCATTTCTTAAATCAACCTTTATTGCCTGCAAGACAAAGATTTTAAAGGAGCAAAATGAAGTTCATTTTCCCAAAGAAGGAACAGATGAGAAAAACAATTATTTTATTGCTGGGTGACAACTTCTATGACAAAGGAGGGCAACACAGGGGATAAATTAGAGGGAAGGACAGAGTGGACCACTTGAGAGAGACAAGAGTTTCAAAGCTCCTAAGAAGAGCTCACACTTTGACTTTCTGAAATAATTGAAAGAGGCGAGGTGGACAGCTGAGGAGTACATTTCAGGCTGGAGGAAGACGCAAATAACCATAAGAAAGTAAGAAAACAGGGCCTCCCCTGGTGGCGCAGAGGTTGAGCGCTGGGCTGCGAAGCTGCCCGCAGCCTCTGCAGCGCCGGTTCGATCCCCGGCCCCCGGAGAGGGCTCCACATGGTGCAACAGACCTCTCCGGCCGCACCCGCTGCTCCCCTCAGCAGTGTATTTCGTCAGTCTGCCTGTTCTGCTCCCGGGTCTGGCTCTGGTGGATTCTCTCACCCTCCCGCACTTCTGACTGTACCCAGTGCTTGTATAAATAAAGAAAGAAATCTTAAAAAAAAAAAAAAAGTAAGAAAACAGATTGCTGGGGCACAGGAGAGTGTGAACAGCAGGAAATGAGCAGGGTCAAACCTGAGCAGTAAGTGAGGAAGACAGCAAAAGCCTTATTTGTCATGCTTGGAGTTTGAGCTTGTCATACAGCCACGCCAGAGCCATGACGTTTTGAAGACATGATTAGCATTGCATTTCAGAGGGTCTTAATTGTAAAGGAAGAATTTAAACTACATCAACCTGAGGGAGAAGAGAAGAAGGTATTCAAGTTGCCAATTTTTTTTAATTAGAGTTTGTTGTTGTTGTTGTTAAGTGTGAACAAATAGTTTTTAACTGTAATTTGTAATGAATTATAGAGATTTTACTCTAATATATATATATATTTTTTCCTAATAGCAAAAATTTTAAACAACCCACGTTCCAACGTGGGAGGAAAGGAATGTGTGGCAAGTTTAATCCTTTTATTAACTTGGAAAGGACAGACTGGAACTGTCACCAATTGCCACCAAATCAAAAATTCCACCTTCTCTGGACAACTGGAAAAGCTGTTTTTAGACATTTACCTTAGATTATTTTAATAGCTTTCGAAAGCAATTGCAACTGGAACCGAAAGGGCAGCATGAATTCAAGAGAAAATTAGAAGGTGTAATCAACACAAATTGTTGAAAATGGCAATGGTTAACATAAACTGTCATTAAAAAATCAGAACTTACACTCTGACAAGTATAAATGTATTCATGGGGAAAAAAAGGAAATACATAATTGAAATAGTAACTGTGCTATCAGTTTATATGATTACTATAAACCAAAAAATTACCACTGACCGAAGTGAGACCACTAATTACATAATGTAATTCTACCGGGATCTGAGAAGAGATGATAACACACATAAATTCTAGAAAAAGAGGTGCTTATCAGGGTGGGAGGGATGCAACATTCTTCAAACCATTCAGATGCTTTAAGGATTTTTAAAACAAATTCCTATGTACCATTTGGTGAATTATCACTTAAACAAAACTCAGGCAAATGAAACAGAAAATCCTACAAATCAAAAGATTACAGCTTAAGTATATATTCATAACAAATGAAATTCACACAATAAGAACTGTTCAATAATTTTGTCTGAAGGCTACAGACTATACGTAGCTATAGAAACAGGTATCTCCACATTATATTGCCAGCAGACAGACACAGCCAGCAAGCCACATGAACTGGCGTGCAGCTAAATCAACAGCCAGAAAGAAAGACCGCTGTGCAAGTGCTTTTTATATAGCTCAGCCGAGCTGGGTGGCTCAGACTTGGAGAAGGAAGTGCTAAATATGTAACAGCCTGGGGCCTCGCTGATCCCAAATAATAGTTATTTTTGAGTAGGTCAAGCAAGAGTCAATAAAAAAGCAAGCAGGAATGAATGCTGGGTTCATAGCAGGCTAATAATGTCCTTCTGGGATAAACTCCAGTTTCAAATCACCAGAATCAAATACTTAAGTTGCAAAATACTGTTTTATAGACCCCCAGTTCCAGAAATATCAGTCCAATAGCTAGAAAATGGATCAAGTCTCCAAACCAGGATCATCTTTAAAACAGATTCTCTAAGCCAGTGTGCTTCACCACAAGCATCACTTCCATGATTCGTCTGCGCTGGAATCACAGCAACTATATTAAAGGCACACCCTGGACACCTAACAAATCAGAATTTTTAAGAAACCTGGGAATGAACATTTTTATGTTTTTTAAATGATTTTTATCTATGATTCTGTCTTCTAATATTTGAAAACTTTTTTTTTTTTGCTTTTTTTGTTTTCAAATGCCATAGTACATGAATAATATCTCTTGGTACAGTTGATGACAGAGAGGTGATAGAGGGATAGATGGACATAAGGAAGGATGGGTGGATAGATAATTAGATAACTGATCCATACCAATTTTTTTCCTTGGTAGCAACAGAGAAATTAATTAATATATTCAAGATGCAGGCTGTTTAGAAAGCAGGTCTTTTTGATTGAATAAACATGAACACAACAATCAGCTCACATAAGAAGTAATTAATGATCAAGGGCCAAATTGGGTGCTGAAAATCATGCTCACCACATCTAATCAAAGATAGACTTTTCCATGTCGAAGTTTTCTGCTCATCAGCTGGCATGCATTCCTACAAGTAGTCAAGAATTCTGTACAAGAATCTATCACCAACTTACCACTAACTAAGCCTTTAAAAAATCATACTGCAAAATATTTGTTGAAAATTTGAGGTAGTGTTATTTTTAAGTTTCTTTTTTTAAAAGAGTTATTGTATTCATTTATGCTTGCAAGAGCTGGGGTGTAGGTCAGAGGTATGGGCGGTGGGGTGCAGGGTGTGAGAGGATTCATCAGAAACAGAGTGGGGAGCAGAACAGGCAGATCTACTGAAATACACTGCTGAGGGGAGCAGCAGGAGAGACAGGAGAGGTTTGCTGTGCCATCTGGGTTAGCTCCCTGGTCAGAGATTGAACTTGTGCTGCAGTGGCTGCTGATAACTTCATTGTGCTGAGATTTAACCCTTTGTACAATCAGAGAGGCCCTGTAAATTTCTTAAGAATAATGAAATCTTTAATTTTTCTGATGACAAGGAAAGTAAAATGACAACAAATGCCTGCACTTACTGTAACGATATAGTAAGCAAGCTCTTCAAAGACATGTAGTTTCTTCTCTCATCAGCCCATGAATCTCTTTTACAGGCACAACAGTGACAAAGAGGGACTCTAAGCAGATACCATGTCTCTGCTCTTTCACTGATGGAGAGAGTGGGCATGCAAGTAAAGTTTGCGGTGTGATGGCAGCGGTCAAACACTTTCATCACTGTATGTTATGCTATGTTACATCATGTAATGTTGTTATGCTATATACAAAATGTAACTGTGTAGACCAGCAAACCCTTAAACCATGTGTTCCACATATACTACTATAACAATGGCAAATAAGTCCATTTCCTTGTATGTTCTGAAAAATTAAGTTTTCTCAAAATATTGTCTCAAAAGCAGGATTGAACCTAAATGCCCAAAAATAGATGACTGGATCAAGAAGATGTGGTACATATACACCATGGAATATTACTCAGTAATCAAAAAAGATAAACACATGCAATTTGCAGCAACATGGATGGAGCTGGAAGTGATCATGCTCAGCGAAATAAGCCAGAAAGAAAAAGATAAATACCGGATGGTCTCACTCATAGCAGGAATTTAGAAAACCTAAATAAGAGACCAGGAAAAAGACTAATCAATACAAAGTAAAAATCAAAATCAATAAGCAACTATAAACCAGAGACAAACTATGGGGCATGGGGACAGGGAGGGGTAGGGAGAGGAAGGACTACAGTCAAAACGGGGGGGGTGCAATTGTGTGGGGGAATATAAGCATAATGAAAATGCATACATTGTGCAAAGATGAAAAATTATGTAAGAATTATATAAAATATTTTTTTTTAAAAAAGCAGGATTAAAATAAACGATTTGACAAAATGTTGTGCTTCATTACTCTTTCATGGACTCAAAAAGTCCTGATAAATACGAAAAGTCCATGTCCAAACTCTGGCTTTGCCCAAGTTCATTTTCATCATAAAACAGGCATTTTATCATGGGATACATACTTTGTATCCTCAAGGACTTTTACTAAGAAGGCCAAACATTGAAAGCTGCTCTTTCTTCCTTCCTTTTCCTAGCAGACCTCAGTGCCTGTGTCGGATGACTTGCAGATCTGGGGGTGCTGGGGAACACAGCCTTTCCATATCTTTGCATAAAGGAGGCATACTGCATTTCAGACAAGCATATCACACATCAGATGCAGTTCCCAGAAAAAAAAAATTCAGATCTACGTAGCTGTGTCTCATTTATCCCATCCTTGGTATAAGAGTTCCACCAAACACATGCTTTGTAGCCATAAATATGTTCTTCTAATAACATCCTGGAATCTATTCTTTTCATGAAGGATGCAGAATCGTCAAGTTTTTTGTGTTTTTTTTTTTTAAGATTTATTTATTTATTCATACAAACACTGGGTACAGTCAGAAGTGCGGGAGGGTGAGAGAATTCACCAGAGCCAGAGTGGGGAGCAGAGCAGGCAGAAGGGCCGAAGTACACTGCTGAGGGGAGCAGCGGGCGGCAGGCGAGGTCTGCGCGCCACGTGGGACCCTCGCTGGCAATCCGGGGATCGAACCTGTGCTGCAAAGGATGCGGGTAGCTTTGCAGCCCAGCGCTCAACCACTGCACCAACAGGGGAGGCCCCAGAATAGTCAAGTTTTGAGAGTTAGGCTGATTCAGTAGTTGTAGGAGTTTTATCTATATTCCATATTTTTATATGGTGTGGCATGGAGGTCAAGGCCTTGAGATTTCACTCTTAATTAGGTCATCCTAATTTAAAGAATGTGCCAGAAAGAGTAGAGATTATTTACTCATTGATGGAAGTCATTTCAGTGTTTGATTATATAACTAAGATGATAGGCAGCATTTCACAAGTTATTTAATACATATGAATGAAGGACATTATCCCTCAAGAAACTTGGGATCATCAAACAGAGGCTTATCTCTGACTGTTTGCTACATTGGTGTCTAGTCACTTAACAATCAAAATGAACATTATCAAGCACTCTCTTAGACCCTGAGGATATATAATCCTTGCTGTCACTGTGCTTGTAGTTTCATAGTTTAACAACTTTTATAGAAGCAACTTGCTTTTTGCCAAGAGAATCAAACATGAAATCCTGGCACAAATGAATGAAACTGCCACTTTATTAATTTAAATATATTTTATAAATATAAATTTATAAAATTCAAGCTGTCGAATAATAATAATAACAATGATGATGCTCATACATTTTTTAAATTTTGTATTATGGTTCCAACATCTAGCCAGCCTCTGAAGTATTAACTTATGTGATGGATTTTTGTTACATGTTAAAAACCTCCTTTATTCATTAAATATTTGCAAAGAGTAGCAGTATAACTAAACATCATGACAATATAGGGTATTTTTCATGTACAGAGAATCACATAAGTTTTATTTAGGGATATACATGAAATAAATTGATCTGGTAGGTTGAGTTAAAAATTTTGTGATATTCAATATACTACAATTATGGTCTAACATTTGACTAAATATATTTATTATTTTTTTTCAAATCCTTTATTTTGAAATAATTTGAGACTTGAAGGAAAGTTGCAAAAATAGTGAGGATTCCTGTACATCTTTCACTCAACTCACCAAACAATCACATCTTTTATAACTACAGATCAATGATCAAAAATAGGAAATTAATATTGGTTAATTACCTTAATTAAACCAGAAACCTTTTTCAAATTTCAACAGATTTTTTATTAAGGTCATTAATGAAAATGACCCTTCTCTTTTAAGATCTTAAAACTTTTCAAAAGTAAAGGCAAGTTATTTTGTAAAGTGTTCCTTGATTTCTTTGGTATTTGCTCATTTTTAAAAGGAAAACACAAAGATTTATCTTTCTTTTATCAATTACTGTGGTATAATTTATAGTTCTGTCTGTGGCTTGATCTACTTAAATTACTACTTCAATTTTGTTTTTCAATATTTTTTGTCCTCTCATGTTTTAATCTTTTCTATGTATGGGGATTCCAGATTTTAAATCCTCTTTTCAGAGGATCTGATTAGTTACTGAAATATTTGCATCATTTAATGACTTTTTTATACACTCTAGTTGTTTTCCCTATTTTAATTATGGATGAAGAAATCATTCACAATTATTTTGAGGTCTCTATCTTATAACTCAAATACATGGATCAGTGGTTGGTCTATTTCAATTGCTTTCTTTCTTGGCTTTTAGTTATGGGATACTGAATCTTAGAATCCCTGGTAGTCTTTCTATGGACTACTGGCCATTTATTATAACAATGCATTGAAGCTAGATGTTGTTATAGATCTCTGGAGAGGAATTACCCTTCTTCTAGCTGGCAGGGAAAATACAGGCGGATCCATTAGACCTCGTTTAGGCTGTGTTTCAGACATTCTAAAGGCTGATTCTGACTTGACCTTTCTTCAACTATAATAAACCATCAGAAATTCAAACTGAAATCCTGAGGTGTTTTACCAGCACCCTTCATCTGTAATGAAGCCTAAAATTATATATTTTTTGTTTCTATAGCACCGTGACATTCCATAAAGCTCTGGTTACCATTTTAGCTTTTTTTAATAGCTTTCTTTTAGATCTCTGAGTTTTAGGCCATGTATATACAAGTCCTCTCTCTAGGACACTGTCCCAGCAAGTGATGTCTTGTCTGTCTGTTTGAGCACTGTTTTTGGTTTTGTTTTGTTTTGTTTTTTTCTTTTTTCACTATACCAGTGACATTGCAAATGCTCTAAGCTGGTGCTTTTTTTTTTTTCAGCATCTTTCTCACATCAGTAGTGGGTAATTGTGAACTGAAAAATTGTGGTGAGGGTGTGCCTCAGTGCATTTTCCTTCCCTTCAGGAACCTGACACTTTTGCTACATTAAAAACATTTTTTTTTATTCACTTATTTTTGTTGAGAGAGTAGTAGCTGATAAAAGCTAGTATGTCACATTTGGAAGATGAAGTCCTAATATAGCCGTTCCTGTTTCAACCACACAAGTACACGCCTGATGCCAGTAAAACATGTCCCCACTGAAGAGGATGCTTGGTGGGGTCTCCCTGCAGTGACCCCTCTTCCAGTTCTGAGAGGAGGGACAGATCTCCGCCTCCTTCCATGTGCCAACCAACTCTCTGCAAACATGCTCACAAAAGTTTCCTCATCTGACTCTCAAGACTTCCTTGATGTCAGACTTAGAGTCTACTCACTCTCAACCAACCTGACCTCCCCTCTCACTAACTGTGGATTGGAGCAGCCTTTGTTTCATTCCCAATGAAAACCAATATCAATTGATTGTTTTGAAAATATCCTATCATATTTTATGAATATATGTTTGTTGCAGCACTATTTATAATAGCTAAGCTATGCAAACAACCCAAATGCCCAAAAATAGATGATGGATCAAGAAGATGTGGTATATATGCACAATGGAATATTACTCAGCAATCAAAAAAGATAAACTCATGCCATTCGCAGCAATATGGATGAAGTTGGAAGGGATCATTCTCAGTGAAATAAGCCAGAAAGAAAAAGACAAATACCGGATGATTTCACTTATAGGAGGAATGTAGAGGATCCAAATAAGGGTTCGGGGGAAAAATAATCATAATGAAGTGAAAATCAAAATCAACAAGCAACTATAATTCAGAGACATTCTGCAGGGGGTGGGGGAGACGAGAGTATGATCAAAATAGTGGTGGGAAGAGCACAAGGGGCTAAGGTAATGGTGCACAGGTGAACTGGTGGTGGGAATTTCATGGGGACTATAACCAAGACGAGAAAGTACACATTATACAAAAATGAAGAACAATGTAAAAATATATAAAATTAAAAAAAAAATTCATGAAGAATGTACAAGTGAGCTTGATGGGAACGGGAAATTCTTTCACAATGCATTTGCAACCACATTGCACACTTTTAATATGCAACAATTTTCTCAATTTTACCACAATAAAACTCAAAAAATTTAAATGCTGAATTTCCTATCCCTCAGAGAGGTAATAAGCAGACCTCTATCTTAATATCTTAATCAGCTACCTAGATTTTCCTCTAAATGTCTTTCTTTTTGGTATCAAATACAACAGCAAAAGTCAAAGTGAATACCTCTCCTCCTTCCCTTGATATTCTGAGCATTGTATAACTGGTTGTAAGTCACACGTCCATTTTCAATCCAACACTGAAAAAAATCACATTCATTGTCATTAACTTTTGGTGCACCTTGTTTTATTTTACTATTTTGCTTCCACGAGTCTAACAAGTTTTAAACCTCTCTCACATATTTATCTTTGTTATATAATTTTTATCTACCTAACTTAAGCCTAAACTCAAGTGTTCTT